GCATCTACCACTTTAAATACCACAAAGAGAAAAATATGTGGCGGGCAGTCGAACAGGTAGAAGTATGAAATCATTCAGGCTACAGAAAGTAAGACAGCATTTCGCATGAACACACGATTCCCCGAACAGGATATTGATACTGTTTGTGGTCTCAATGTTCATTTGAACACTGTGTTAAGTAAAGATGTTAAAGATATGACATGTTAAACATTTACAAATGATAACATAGTGGAAAGAACAATGATGCAAGTATCACAACTTTAAAATGCTTGCCATCAATATTTTCAGCCTAAACCATGAAATCAAATCTCATTGTTTGTGTGAAAAGGGTTCATCGCCTGACTCAGATGTTCCCCTGACCTCAACAAAGCATATTACAGCTTTTTTCTATCTCCGACCTCCTCTCTGCACCCGTCTTCAATCTTTTTTCATCATCCATTCATCATCCATTCAGCCATTACAAATCCCTTCAGCACCTGCGTTCACCTCCTATTGTTCGATATCAGCCTACGACCGTGCGCTTCGCAGACACACACTTTGACACATTTCAAAGAGGGCTTCAACCTAATTACCACTGGGATCTTTATTACATTTGTTGTCCACTCTATCCTTTGTGGATCACATGGGACAGCAAACAGCAACAATAACAAGCAGGAAAAAATATGAAGCTCATGCTCATATATGAAGTGTGTATGTTGTGTTGAACAAAGGGAATCCTCACTGTTTATCCTACAAAAAGCCGCTGCTGAATGCAGTGTATCACTTTTCATTATGGAATAGCGAACAATGAGATGTACCTCCCAGCAGCGCCTGAAGGATCTCAAACACAACGCTGGCTCTGTCACAGCCCGTGTGTCATTACATCTCTGGCTGTACCACTAGCACGTCTCAAACGCGTGAAAGTCATATTAATCTACGCTGCCATCACAAATAGTTTCACCAATTATTTCCACATGTGCTGATGCACAAGAGGACCCCTCCCAGACCAATACTGGACCCTAGCAAGCATTACCGGGATTTGAGCATTCAGTCATCTTGGGTGAGTCTCTATTTGGGGAACCACCCTTGTGGTCCATTTACTGAAGTTTTAGATGACGGGAGTCAATGACATTACATCCTGCATATTTCCAAGAAGATTTATTCCAGTCTGGGCCTGTTGAGGGACTTTAGAGCTTGACGCTACTTTTAATCGAGTCCCAGGTTGATTTAACTGTATGTCTACTGTTAAAGTCCTGCATGAAAGTCCAAACTGAAACGTTTATTCAATATTTTAGTTGTTTGAAGACTAAGCTATCATGTAGAATAAGTTGTCATCTGAATCTGTCAACTGGTTTTTCAACCCTTCCTCAGTCTCACGGTCCTATAATAGATGAATACAATGTGTTTTGGCTTTGTGTCTTCATACAGTTTTTTTCTTTGTCCTTCTGCCAGACAACCCAGGTTTATGAGCTGCCGCACAGATTCCTGAAGGCATGATGCCCTGTGAGTGTATATGTGTCACAGCAGCTATTAATCTTCTTCAGGACAATCAGCCCTTGTGCATAGTTTGCTCAGAGCTATGGGAAGTGGTTTGTGATTTCCATGTTATATATCCGAGACTTTGCCTCTGATCTTCTGAACCCCAAGCTTTGTTTTTCCTCTGCAGTTCACTTGGGAGGGCTGGTCATTAAATCCAAAACAGTCTGTTTGATTTAGACTTGAGCGTGCATGAAAGCTGATGCAACACTTTGTCATGCTAAAGGTGGCTCAAATTCTGCCAATGAAGACTACTAATAAGTGGATTGCTGCAATGGACAAACAGATGTAGCCAAAGAGGGTTTAAAATTATTCAAAACTAGAATTTCTGCCTTGCGGTTGAAATAATCCACCACCCAGTAAATTTGCAGTTTACATCCATGTCTGTCCAAAGCGTTGTTATTTTATCATTTCTTTCATATTTAAAATTGTCAAAATTTAGAAGGGTTCTGGCCAAGAGATATTACGTTCAGTAGAATAGACTAAACAGACTTACAACCTGAAAAATAGGCCGTCAATCCTAATCCCCCCCTAACCCATCACAGGATCTACTATTTTCTGAAACCCTTGAATCATCTCAATAAAGCCCTTATTTTGGTACTATTTTGGTAGAATAATTTTAACAGTGAAGTGAGGTCAAATTTAGACTGTACTGACTAAGACACGGCAGCAACGCTAACGGAAACCTTTTACCATAAAGTCAAACCATTGCAATTGATCTCACTGTGCTGCACTGCATTGAACTAGCTGCAGTAACCTAAAACATAACCTGCCCTAGCGTTAATCATATGTACACATAATATCAGTCTGGAATATTGATTCCCATTCCCGTTTTGAGCTAAAACTAAAAATAGTTTGTGAAATGAGCCGGCACTGTATTGAAGCAGTTATTGATTTGCAGCATATGGACCCCAGGAAGCTTGGGTAGTTCCCATGGGAACAACAGGGAGAGGTACTGCTGATTGTCAAACCATCAGTCTGAACGCCTGGAAGACACAGATTTGATCATTTATAAAATGAAAGATGAGACAAAGAGGGAAGACTAGCCAAAAGGAGAGCAGGTGATTTCCCTTTCAGAGGTAAACCCGTTGTCAAAACTCATCACATGCGGACCCGAAATACTTAAATGACTCACAGGAATCAACAGTGCGGCTATTTTTGCATGGAGCCCCAAACAAGCAGAAACAGCTTTAACGCAAGTCCTATTTTCATTGATTGATCATTGATTTAGTCTAGAATTTCCATTAGAACATCTGAAGTTAAATTGTTTAAATGAAAATTCTCAAATTGAATGAAGCCGCTGATGAGTTCGGTGTGAGAATTTCATGATTTTTTGGATTTTCTTTTTCCGTAAAAATGTCTTCCTAGAACCAATCATAATGGACCTCATGTTCAATCCTACATCAGAAAAATCAAACGTTCTTTTATAAACCAGCAGCAGTAATAATGACTTCCATCACAACACGTTCTATTGGTTAATGGTACCTTATCTCCTGCTGTCCGCTACAGTTGAACAGTGCGCGCTTGAGGTTTATATTATATGGCCTTGGCTGTGGACTGACAACCCTGAGAAGGTGGTGTGATTCAGGTAACAGAGAACAGGACAAACATTCACAGGCAGCAGATCACTCATACAAATGAAGTCAGCCAACCCAACCCCCCTCAAAAAAAGCTTTTTCTGAGTAACTCCCACACAAATGATCTTTACAACTGATCGCAGCCATGAGAACGCTTGCCTCCTGAATATTGAATAACCTTAATGGATGTGTAAAAGCAAAGACTGCAACATTATTCAGTTCTCTTGTTCTATCATATTTCACCTCCTTTGCCAAACTTACATTGAGGGAGGGAAGCATTCATTTTCAAGCACAAGTTTTCCATCTCACAAACATCTACTAGAGTGCAGGCAGACAACTGCAGACAGAAACCATGTTTCTGAGCTTGAAATCTTTCTTCAAAGTGTGTCAAGTTACATAGTGAGTAAATTAGACTAACTGGTTAACAAATGCTATACTGCGGTTTGTAGACTTGACAGACATTCGTGAAGGAACTCTTCTGAACTAAGTCAGGACTGAGAGATAGAAAGTATGCACTTTACTATATTGGCATTACAATACACTTTTTGCCAACATCTGATGTGCTTCAGGCAACCTAACTAGTATTATTCATGCACCGTATATGTCTGGAAACACGTCTGCTGAGCTGCGCATCATCAGTTCCGTCTCAGCAGGCTTAGTTCTAACCACAAGATGTACATGCACAAGGGAAGTACACAAACCCACACACAAAGGTATGCTGTGATGACTCAAGAACCACTAATTACTTAATGACAGAGTCTTGTATTATTCAGAATGACATACTATTATTCTTTTTTTTTGGTAGGGACGTTCAATTTAGGAATATAAATGTGGAAATCCCAAAATATGGTTGATTTTGGAAGGGTAAAGTTAAACAATGGATGACCAGTGAGGGAAAACAGGTCTTGTTGAACCCATACAGTACACTTTGCAAGTAGTGAAGTTAAGTTTTCAGTTTCTCAGTGTTACTCAAAGTTTTGACAACTAAGTATTGTCACTAATGTTCACTCCCGAGGGCCTTCTCCTCCACAACTCTATAGGAATGCCACGGCCTGCCCAGTGGGTTAGCCAAACCTTCAGCCACATGTTAGAACAGATGTGGACAATGAGTTGTTGGTGAACGCTTTTTACAGCTTCATGTGAACTACCCGATCATCAGACCATAGCTGAAAACAGGGCTAACACTGAGATACCTTTAATAATAAAACACACATTAATCACTTCCTCCAGCTGGTTTTTATGTCCCAAACTTGATGTCCACAGGTCTAATGCTTATGGACACGCACAGAGGGGAGGCTGGTTACCCTCTGACTCCTCCCAGAGGAGCTTTGCACTGCGGGAAAGGTAAGGCCAGACCAGTCCTCCAGGGTTGTCGGTTCTGGCACATTCCTCTCAACGCAAAGTAGACACAAATGCCATGTGTGTTGATGGCTGCACATCCAGGCACACCTTTTTTTAGTGGGGCCATGTAGAGCACAATGGTTTAGCAGACACCGACACGTACTGCACAGCCCTCAGGGTTCACCAGGCCTGCTGCGCTTTCTATGCACATAGTGATTACAGAATGAGGGGAAGGAATTCATTTCAGGAGTTCCTTTTTGTACTGGAACGGCCAGTCGGGGATACGTTTTTAATCAAAACCAAAACCACACTCCCATTTTCTGTTTCTGTTAGTACAGGCTCTCTTTTTACTCTCGCTGAGACCTTTCGTTTCATATTTCGACAACTGCAGAAATGATGAAACATGAAGGTGTCTGCTCTTTTTTCACTTTCAACTGTGAAATGATCATTTAGAGATGAAATCTGCCAAGAATGATGCAGATGTGATGTGTTTTGAGGGAGAGGGAGTTGATATCAATATGCATTTCACATATTTTTGCAACGAGGGACGGTCAATTGTAAACTCACCGTGAGTGGCAGCGAGCAGACCACGAAGATGACCGTGATGAGCGCCAGCAGCACCAGGTGGTCCATCTCCTCTTCCCCCTGTACGAACCAGGCCAGGCTCAGCCTCCTCTTCCTCGCTGTCGAAAGAACCGAGCCGCGCCGCATCATCTGACTCCGGTGCATCTGGCACAGGCTGACAATCACTGAACCGTTGCACACAAACACAGCAAAGATCAGCAGTGCCATGAGGGAGGAGTAGGATAGGGAGAAGGCCAGCACCAAGGCGGGCTGTTCATCCCCCGTTGAGTCCATGTCGATGAAGCACCACGTGCCAGGACAGTATTGTCTGAATTTGCCATATCCGCTGTATGGCAGCAGACAGAAGGCCAAAGAAAAGAGGTAAATAAAGAAAAGAGTGAATTTGGCAAAGTTGCGGCGAATGTGTACAGAGTAAAAGTAAGGGTGGCTGATGGCCAGGCAGCGCTCCACGGCCATGGCACACAGGATAAGCGTGGGCGCCAGGCCGAAGAAACTCATGGCAAAGGCAAAGAGGTTGCACAGGCTCGCACCGCCCAGACTTATTAGGGACATGTTGTAGGCGTAGCAGATGAACACAGGTGGGCTGAGGAGGCAGGTGCCCAGTAGGTCGGTGAGGGCCAGGCCGGTCACCAGGATGCAGAAGACAGACGACCTGGAGCGATGCTCCTTCTGGTGCACTCCGAGGATGAGGAGAGCCAGCAGGTTTCCCACCACGGCTGCCAAAAACATGACGGTGCTTGTTGCTGGCTTGCCATCGTTCACGATGAGAGTCTCATTGCAGGTGATATTGTGAAATGATCCGTTAGAAACCATGGTTTTGTTCATGTTTAACTCACAGCAAAGAAATATCCCTGCTCAGTGTGGAATAAATAAGGCATTCCCACACAACAAATGGAGATTCTGTCCTCTTGACAACATCCGTTGGCAACTCAGAAGGCAGGGCCGTATGGTGAGTCCCATAATGATGCATTGACTGAAGACTGCTCCCCTGTCTGTCCCTCTCTTTTAACGCAGGCAGTTAAGAAATATTTCTGTGAAAAAAATAAGATGAGAAAAAAAAAAAGTTGCTCAGTGCTTTCATTCATTTCTATACCTGATTACTCCTTAAGAATGATCTTCATAGTTTAATTGACAAATAATCACTTACCTTTCACCGGCTCTTCCTGTGAGAAGCTTTCAAGCTTTTAAAACAACCTGCCAGCTCCGCCTCCTCTTTTTTCTTATTCTTGTTCTGCGGAATCCTACTTTGTTAAGAAGCTGTGAGATACCGGAATTGAATAGTGCGTCGGCAGCGCTGTGAACTCCCGTTACGGAGCGACGGACTGAATAAGGTCCGCTTTCCCCCGCTTGCTTTCTCCTTCTGTCTGCCCGCCTGCACCTCCTCCCTCCCCCGTCTGCCCGATCGATTTAAAGTCCCTCCCATCGTGCTGCCGCGGCGAAAAGACGCAGACAGAAGTCATCTAAAAGCGCGTCTAGGAAGAATAAAGGTGTGAGTAACCTTACGGAATGCACTTGTTAGAGCTGACAATCGGAATGAACTGTTGTTTTCTTTGTTGTTCCAACATATTGTTCCCCAAAGACATGCAGGCAGATGCATTACATTCTTAGCCCAAATTGTATTTTTTTTTATCCTCAAGTTTAGAAAAATAATCAATATTAGTGATCTTTAATTTTCAACTGCCACAGACTCGTATTGCAGTAAATGCCACATGCTTAAATAATAAAACACAGCCACTAGTCCACTGACGGGGTTTAGTTTTAGGACACTTCAGAAGGAGGAACAGTCCAATTTCTCTTTTGTGCAAATATTTGGGTTGGCAGCGTTTTCTTGGTTCTTGGCTGATTCAGATATTACTCTTTCTACACGTTTACGTATCAGGCGGCTTTAATGCACCTGCATGGGAGAGGGACCTCATTTGTTCGTCAAATCACAGATGTTAAGGCTTGTTTGAATTGATCTGATAGACCCAGGGGAAAAGCCAGCAGTTGCCTTACAGCTCCATCTGGCTAGTTTTACATCCTGGTCATTGTGTTTAACTGTACTTGAAGACAGTCATTTAAGGTGCATCTGCAGCTCTTTTTACTTACCCAACCTGAATCCCCCTCTTCTCTGGACCATGTCGTTGGGTCACGTATTTCCTGAATACTCTACTTTCAACTTTGATGGTATTGTTTTAATCTTTCACGTTTCTAACCTTCTTTTTGGTAAATTCCAGGTGATTTTTCTGCACCGCGGCTCCAAACCTCCACAGAGATCTAATTTAGATAGAAAGTGCTTGTGTGAAGGACCTTTAAAGACAGTAAAATTAGGTAGAATTGTTTGAAAATACATTAACATTTTAACAGCGGGCCACAGCTAACTGCTTTGACATTAGATTAGTTCATGGATATAGAATGAAACTTCAAACACATTAGACTATAATGAAAGTCCTGAGGATCCATTACTGCTCTCCTTAACTGTTTCTTTTTATGACACCTAAAATGATAAGTATAGCGCCAATAAAATCCCCACAATCAAGAAAATAGGCTGCACAGCAGCTACATTTTATTGCTTAGTTTCCACTCTCAGTAATTTCTACTCTCTTGCTTTCTGATGCTATAATTGCCAGAAGATAATGATATCAGCATATCAGTTACAGTTGGGGTAACGGAGATCAGGTTTCTCCGTTTTACACTCGCTGAAGAAAAGTATTGATGCACAGTTAAACAGCTGCTGGTGGGTGGCTGCTCGCTAGAACGGGCTACTGTGATGTCGTCCGACAAAGTCATGCATGTATCTGTTTTTATCATTTTCTCAGGTTCACTTCATATCGCCAACCCTGACTCCCTCTATGACAAACAAAGGCTCTAATTTATCTTTAACCACCACAGGGAACCTAAAAGGCATGGAAGCCACACAGGGTGTTTATAGTTGCACTGCGGGTAAAACAAACACGGCTGCCATCTCTGAATAAACAGAAGCCATGCTCAAAACAGATGCAGACATACTTGCACGATTTCCTCAAACCATCTGACCGGTTTATGAACCCTACCAACCAAGACACCGGCATCCTCAGAATTTGGTCATGTTCTCCCCCTGATAACCAGTTTGGAAAAAGTGCAGCCAGGCATCAATTTACAAATGTTGTTCATTAAAAGGGTGAACAGCGGTGATGAATGAAGATGAATGGATGATGGGCAGAAAATAGACAAACACATAATGTGTGGAGGGCTTGATGGTTTGGTAGTTAGATGGATGTATTCATCAGGAGATATATCAGTCATGTAGGGAAGGAAAATTGTTAAATCGATGATGAAGGACATATGGATGAAAATATGGGTGGATGATTAAATAGATGGTTGGATGGATGGAACAAGGAACATATAGTTGGATAATAAAGGGATAGAAAGAGAGATGGATGGATGGGTTAAAACAGGACAAGAAACTTTCTGTTCCAGCCTTTTTGGACTCTTTGTTCTCACAAAGAAGGAAAAGACAATCACTCAACACAAACTAAAAATTAACTTTATCACACATTAACCTGTATTTGTATACAATACAATATAAATTGTTGTATTTAAATGACATGCCTTTATCCAAACACGAGGACACATTACAAACTGCAGATGAAAACTGTTACACTTAATTGTATTGTTCCGTTTTTGTTTATTGGCGACAGCCAGCGTAGGTAGTTACAGTAACCACAATACAGCTACTTAAATAGCTGATAGCTGTGGAATCACAAATAAGCTTGTTAAAAAACATGTATGGAAAGGGGAGAAGAATGAATTGATTTGAACATTTATTGTAAGTGGCTTTGGTTAAAAGCGTCAGCTAAATGAAATGTAAAGTAAGACACGCACTGAGTGAGTGTGCGTGCATGTCTGTGTGCATGCGTTGTGTCGTTGGGACCTGCCTCACCGTAAGATGGATATGCTTTATCTGGTAAGCATTGTTCCTGCAAATTGAATCCCAGAGAAATACCATTCTCTTTCAAAACATTAAATTAATGATGTGTTGCGTGATGCTGTCTGGCTTATTTTTTTAAGGCTGATGGGAACTTGAATAAAGAATGTCCGAATTTCCAGGAAGAGAATGTCATATGATAGCTGAACATTCAATGAGACACTTTTGACCAGCACGAAACATGTGGAGTCCCAGAAAGGCTGATTCTGGCATTTCACTCTTTGATCCCAAATTGAAAACAGTGACAGAGAACTGGATATGAAGTTTAAACTACAATCTGGAAATGATTGAATTGATTACGTACAATGACACATTTAAGATTGCGTGTGTTGTCACATTTTAAATATGCAGCTGTTTGTCCAACTCTGTGAAGAAGCATCATGCTTGAGTATCAAGTCTGTAATAAATGTTGATCACTAAAATATTGAATGAGCCAGAAAATCTTTTCAGCTGTGCACGCCACAATGTCTCGTGGCGCTCCAGGATATCAAGTCCTTCTTTCTGTTTGATCTCACTTTCAGGAAAACCAGTTATGTGAATCAATGGTAAACACTGTTCAATGAGGCAGTTTATTCTGAGTAAAAAGACTTAAGAAGCAGACATGGGCGGGTAGCCTCTGCAAGCGCACGTGAGCGTCTACTGGTTAGCTCACGGTTGCTGCTCTGCACTGCTTTCATACGGCGGTTAAAGCTGAGAACGCAATCGTGGAAAGAAGTGCAGAATCCTCTGGTTCCACCTCCAAACACTGTTGGCCCTTTCACCATTGTTTGCACTTTTTGGCAACAACAGCTGTGAGCGGCTGACCCGCGTTCGGATGTACACAAGCTACTTTACAACGTACTGTATGCTCGTAGTTCAATTAAAGCAAAGTCCCATAGAATATATAGGATTCAAACTAAAATGATTGCAAAGTAAAGTAAGAGAGATTTTAAGTTGACGTCCTACTTTCTTTTTCAAACTCTATGTCTTTGAAGTAGTTAACTATTTATGTAGAAACAGAAAGGGATTTCCCGTCAACATAACATGAGCCCCTTAAAGATAAATTTATTTATTTAAGATATTTTCTTTGCTCACAGCCATTTTTTCTATATGTTATGTTCAAACTGAGTTCTCATAACAGCACATCACCAAATTTCATATATATTTTACGGTTGTTAAAAGAAAAAAACTTTTGCAGGTTGCAACATTCTCGAGCAGAGCTGGACAAGTACTCCATATGTCATATAATTTATAATATGAAATAATACAAAGACAAATAAATCCTCCTTGTTTGGTGATAAATAAATAAAAGAAAGAAAAAAATCACAACAACAGTTTTTCATTCAATCATCATCAATGTCACAATGTTACATTATCATTTTTTTACTCATTTTTAAATTAGACATTTTCTGGAGCTTTTTTGAAGTTAAGTTCAGGTTTGATCCTTTCAACAGCGGTTGACGAAACAAACCTGAACTCAAGGTTTAGGCACTTTATCTGCAGCTTTAACTGTAACTTGGTCTTCATGGAGTTGCCATCGATATGATCGTTCAAACTTTTCGTTATGCTGAAGAGCTTTTGGGAAAAAAAAATGTTATCAACATATCTGGAGGATGGATGATTTAAAAAAGTGTAACAGCCAGAGGACATAAGCTGAGACTTAAGACATCAAAGACAGAAACTCTCTGCAGAGTAATTGACTGTGAAGATTTGTGGTCAACCTAATATTTCATTCAGAATTAAATATTATGTTGATATATTAATATTTAGTGATTTTACTGAAGAATAGGCCGTCTCTATCGCAACAATTCAGTGCCTGATTGTGCCGTTAAAAGAATGTGATTCACTTTCGTTTTTCGTACATTCCCAGGTTTTCAAATAAAAATCCCTCTGGGATGGCGCAGAGCGGATTTAAACCAATAGTTAATGAAACATAATGCAATGATAGGCCACTGTTCAGAAAATAATGACAAGCTTTTAAGTTGGATTACGGATGAGTCATACCTGGTAAACGACGAGCTTCAATCAATAAAGCAAATCAATGCTTATTGAACAAACTATTACGCTTGAGAAAACCCTCCTCTGGCCTTCAAAGGTTGGTCCTCATAACGTTATTACTCCATCAATATATCAGTCAAGTGGCCCAGGGCATTTTCTGAATACGCACCACAGGGGCTTTGTGTTTCTTGAACCCTCTCAAACTGTGATGTCTGTCGAGTAACCTAAATATCCAGTCTGAAATAATCTATTGGCTGATGAATAGATGCATAATGAGCAAGAACGGCAAAAACAGCAATGGCTCAAACATTTTTAGTCAAACGTTTTCATGAAATTCTCTGTGAGGTTAAAAACAAAAATGTGAAAACAAAAATTGGGTGAGACATTTATTGTAAAAGAAGTTCATCTGCTTTTGAGCTTTTAAACAGGCATTCTAGAGAATTAAAACAAATTTTAAAATTAACATTACATTACATTACATGTCATTTAGCTGACGCTTTTATCCAAAGCGACGTACAATAAGTAGTATAAATAACATCAGACCAAAGCACTTATTAGGGTGCAAACACTGCGCATAGGCTCATAGGACATTGTGATTAAGTACAGTTTAACACATACATGTGGCTGAAAAGAAAACAAGTGCCAGCTACCTTAAGAAATGATAAATAATAATTAATTTGCCCCTAGTCTTCAATGTCAAATCATTACATGAAAAATGTAACCATCACAAGACCACCTTGTAGTTCATGGAACTATTTGCACAACTAACCTACAGGGATGCTGCGTCCAAGAAGAAGCACTGAACCGCTGAGAGAAAACACACCTCGTATCTATGTCAGCGGGTAATTAACTAACAACGGGACAGTGTAATGTCATTTTAAAGAGACATGACACGTTCCGCGTGCAGGAATAAAAAGCACATACGTTAACAATGTTACTTTGGCAACATGCAAATGGGGCATGTGATAGTGAACAATGACAAAGAGGAAAATGTTAAGACAACGATTCAGGTTTAAATCTTTTTGGAAGGTGAGAATGAACAGTACAAACATAGAGTTACGGAAATGGTGATATAATGCTCCACAAACACCGCCCCAGGTAAATATTGAGTGAAAGGGTTTCCCCAGCTAAGATTAGGTTACACACGTCCCAGTCATGGATAGTAGGGTGTGGTGCACAGAAGCAAACACATCTATACCATACAATACCATTCATGCACACAAACACACATACACACTGACACCATTATTCACGTACACAAACAAATGCCTTTGGTATGTAGGATGAATTGGCTGGGGGAAAAAAAAACAGACAATGGCAATAGAGTTAGAGAATGTTGAAACAACGCCACCTAGTGTTGTAGTTACGGTCGAATCCAAGATTTAACATTTGTATAGTGTGTACGGTGTCTTGATCTTAAATTGACCATGACTAGTGTGATATAAAAGGTAATTAATTAGAGATACCAGTAAGGATCAAAGGGTTGGTGAAGAATGAAACGTATAGTTAACAGTGGCAGACGGTAATAATGTATATCCTGTTGGACAGTGTAATCTATAATAATGTCTTATATGATCTATTAAGACATTTGTGTATGTGTAATTGTAGAACTATAGCAACTATATCAAATTGTAGTGAAGTTTAGAGTAAAATATTTCCCTTGAAAATGTAACTAATAAGCACAAAATTGAAATACTCATAAAAGGTACAAATACCTGAAGCGGGATTTAATTACTTGAGTAAATGGATTTAGTTAATCATCAGCGGAGAAAATGTGGTGATTTTTAGGCTTGCTGCAAAATAAATCCCTGAAGAAGTTGCCTATCAGCCAGAAAGAGGGGGCCCCTTGTTTACATTTGTGTAGGTGAAAGGTCATGACCCCAGCTGACCTGGCTCACCAAAGGTTCCATTAGCTACCTCATGAGCGACTAAATATAGCCTGAGCCTGAGACGGCGCTCATGTTAAGAACTGAAGTGATTAGCGCTGAACCAATGTGAGGCTGTCTGGATGGGCTTAACGTGGGCAGAGAAAGAATACATGTCCATATTAAGAGTGACATCTGTGAGCGCTATTGGAAACAGGATGTGTGTAAAAACAGACATTCATGATGGGTTAAAGATGAGAGTCCAATGCAGGTGAAGTAAAGCTCAGTTTATTGATTTATGTAAAATATAACACATCTTTACATTTTTGAGATTCCTTCGGAAGTCCATTCACTTCTCTATATCCGGTTCAAACATCAACTAATTTAACGCCTTAAGCAGAGCAGAATTTAAGTTTTATGCTTTGGGGATATCAGAAGATACTTCAGATAACGATCTTAGTAAATTTAACCACCTGCTCAAAACTCTAAACAGTCTCACTTCTTTGCTACAAACCCATTTCATCCCTATTTTGAAGTCCCACTCGAACAGCCCAAACTAAACACATCACCCCCACCACCAGTTTTTGTGAATATACAGTATATGTATTTTGTTTGTTAAAACAGCAAGCAGTTCAGACACGAACAAGGACGAGAAATGAGTAACATAGGAGTTGTTATAGCAGCAGCAACAGTGACATTTGGTTTATTTTACTTCTTTTACAACAAAACCTTTTTAATATTCACATGGTTTATACCAAAGTGCAACTTCCTGTGCTTTTATATTAAGTTGATGCATTATATTCTAATGAAGGAGTCTTGCAAGAAGGTCGAGGCTTTTTAGAGTATTATGGCACATTTAAAAACCAAAAAGGTAAAATATGTCACAGGGCATTTACCACAACAGCTTTACCATACACTAATATATATATATGGATATATTTGGTGACCAAAGTTGGTCGTTAATACATTAATACTTATAAAGCTTCACATCAATATTGTATCAACAGGATATCTGGACATCGCAGAACAAATACATTTACTGCAGTCCAGTGCAAGTGTTATTTTCACAATTATCCTCCATAAGCAATGTCAGTTACTCATGTCTGCAATTACTGCCACGGGCGCGCTGTAAAGCCCACAACTCAGACCCAGACAACACCCCCCCCCCCACCCCACAAGAGGAGAAAACACATCTTGCCCTTTTCCATCTCTGGCTCTTGTCTGAACTCTTCAAGATATAAGGACTGCAACCGAGCACCAGCAAACACCCCACACCGACACTATCTGCTCTTGCAATAATAACCAATAGTGACACAAATGTTACAGATATATAGCTATATAGTAATGTATATACCTCCAGTGTGTACACAGCCTGACCACTGCTTCTGATTAGAGCCTCCTCATTGTCACACAAGGCCGCCACAGAAAGGGTGCATGCAAGAAGAGTACCCGATTCAGTATTCAGAGTTTTGTTAAATATTGGGAAGAATGAAATAGCAAACTTCTCTATACCAACTATTGCAAGGGCTCCAATCCCTCGTCCTTCTCAGTGCTGCTCCTTCCTCTAAATTAATCAGGAGCTGGGTGACTCAGCAGAAACTTGGTCTGAAGTACAGGGCCTCTTAAAGCGTGGTCCATTAACTTCTCTAGGGATTATTCTGTTGGTGCTTGCTAAACAGATACCATAGAAGTATTTGGATGTACTTAAGCGCAAATTGTTTAATTCTATAGTGTGTTGGTGGGAGGGTGGGGGGTTATCACCTGATAATTGTTCTTTTATTTGTGGTTCTTAAAAACAGTGGTCTCAGAAGGACAAGCAACGTTGAGAAATGTCAGCGTTCTCTTCACTTGGCAGTCATCATCTGGACAAACTCTGCAAATAGAGTAGATTGTTAAAATTATGCAAAAGGTTATGTTGCAACAGAAATCTGAGTAACAATAAAAGAATGTCTTCCTCGCTTCAATAAAATTTTAGTAAAAACACAAAGATTAAGTTGTAGCTGAAACAAGTCCAGTGGCAAAGAGAAGAAACACAAGCAGTCGCGAGTTTCTAATATAATGGGAAAACAAAAAAAGGGTAGGACATCTTTTTAAAAAGACTATAACCATAGAAATCATCTCACCCTCATAGTTGACCTGACCATCGCCGTCAATGTCAGCCTCGCGGATCATTTCGTCCACCTCCTCGTCAGTGAGCTTCTCCCCTAGGTTGGTCATGACGTGCCGTAACTCTGCTGCACTGATGTAGCCGTTACCATCCTGGCGATGGCCAACAGAGGAGATAGTTATTAGATCGATTTGTCATTTCAGATTACAGCTCCAGTGTATTACTGTGATGTTCTGGGTAAGTATAACTTGATCAGTCGATAAGTCTTCTCAGTCCAAGCATTTATTTTTCTTCCCCAATTCTGAGGCCATTTAACTGAACACTGAACATTTGCATGATAGCATGCAAAAGATAATCGTTGTGCTAGCACAGCGACACCAATAGAAACCGGTGACCTTGTGTGACAGCTCAATATAGTGCACAAATCGCTCTCTAAATAAACTGTACTTTTTTTCTTTCCTGCCATCACAGGGATTTAATGGAGCCACAAATCTGCACATCAGAATCTGAAACATATTTTCGCAGTCTATTCAGTCTTAGCGTACCTTGTCAAAGACTCGGAAGGCTTCTCTGATCTCCTCCTCGCTGTCTGTATCCTTCATCTTTCTGGCCATCATGGTCAGAAACTCAGGAAAGTCAATTGTACCATTGCCTACACAGTCATACAAACAGAATCAGAATAGATATGTGACTATGGTAAAAAGAAAACTGAGCATATCAATCCAAAACAACAAAAACACTTTAACTAACTGGTCCCTAACCACTGGTCCACTTGGTTTTGGGCCTCAGAGAAAGACAAAAAAAAAGGATTTACCAGATTCTCTCCCAATTAGATGCGCTTGTTCCGTCACCCAAGCTTTTTTTTTGGTCCGTGCGCAGCGACTACTCCCCACCGACTACTGCACCTGTTATGTCCGCAGGGCATACACTGTACATTTCTACTGGTTGTATTTAAAGCCTTGTTTATGCTTCTACGTTTTCAGAGCGACGCAGACGCAAGACCCCCTTTTTCTAGGCTTGTGTCGAAAGCGACACAAGCAACGCAAGCCTCCCGCAGCGCACACGGCTGCGATTGGTCCGCAAACTACGTCCTTTACGGAGCCCGAAAATACGGGACAAATGTGTCCGCGATGAAAAGCAGCAGTGGCGATGCACGGGGCAATAAAGTCTTTGATAAAAAAATAAACAAATACATAAATAGACGTGACTCTCTAAGTCGTCTTCAACAAAAACACGTCACTCTGCCTGTTGTTCTGCCGGTGAATTGCTCTGCAACACACGCAGAACCATGAATTGAAACGAGTGCGTCGACGCAACTACGCAGACGCAACAGCAGAAGTATGCGCCAGCCTTAAGGCTGGAAAAACGCTTGACATGAAGATTACTCATACATCTTCAGCAATTATAATTTTCTTTGTGCATTTCTGCTTTTCATCCTCACCATCAGCATCCACCTCATTGATCATGTCCTGCAACTCCGCCTCAGTGGGGTTCTGTCCCAGGGAGCGCATGACGGTCCCGAGTTCCTTGGTAGTGATCGTACCATCACCATCCTTGTCAAACAGCGAGAACGCCTCCTTGAACTCTGTGCATGTAGAGAAATAACACCTTTAGTGTGCCACGTGCACTCATGTTGATACGGACCCTTCACGTTCAGTCTTTCAAGCAGTCCGAATATAAAACACATGCTTAGCTTTAACCTGGTGTGTGCATGACCAATTCAGTGCTGGGAAGGAACTAAACAAGTGGGGTGCTGACCTTTGGTGAGTAAAGACAATGGTGCATTTGTACCAAAATATCTACAACGCACATGCAGATGTGGGCTTTTTTATGTGAGGTTTCATCCTGTGACTCAAAACCCTTCATATTTTTATATTTTAATTCTAGCCATGCAAACCACCAACTTATCTTAAGAGACCTCTGGTTACTATTTATTAAGACGCTGTAGTTACTCAGCAGTGTCGCAGACATATATCCGCACACATGCGAGGGGGAGGGGGGGGGGGGGGGGTCATTTCAGGGGGGATAATGGGTTGGGAAATAGCGTGGTCTAAAACAATCCTAAACAATTCAAACATGGCGCTCACCAGCAATCTGCTCCTCAGTCAGTTGATCAGCCTGTAAACAAAAGATGTTTTCAAATGTTGAATTGAGTTTCTAAGTTTATTTACAGTAGGCTATAATAAAGTTATAAAAAAAGACAAAATGTTTCCATTCAGTCCATTTTTCTAGTTTGGGAGAGATTTCCTTAAACACCATAAAGCTCCCAAACAAGATATGTTAGAAAAAAAATTCAAACAATGTTCCCAATATAGCTTCACAAGTAAGTTGCTACCTTTCTATTTATTCCCAGCACACCTGCTGTTCTTCTTGAGGAAGGAAACTTTAATCCTTTAAAGGGTGTGTGTGTTTGATACTAAAAAAAAAGTGTAATTTTCCAGTAAGACCTTTCCAGTAAGATGATTAGAGAGAGGAAAGCTTTGGGAAGGCCTAATGAGGAGCACATTCAGCAGAGCAAACTTTTCTGTTACATCAACATACACAGATCTATGTAAATGCATTCTAAACAAACCGACTGATATTATCATCTCACAGATGGGCCAAGAAACTGCATATGACCATCACTTAGGGCCAGGGGTGTTAAATAAATGACTAATTTAGTTAGTTAGTTTATCAGTGACAGTCATGACAGTCATTACAGTCTAAAAGACACCCACAAAGCTGCATGTACGATGATGTTACCCAAACCTGCTGATCTTATAAATCGGTTTCACTTTTGCATTCACCCCAGTGGTTTTTCATCTTGACTTACCGGGCCTGTCTAAGTCAGTCAACATGCCCACTTCAGGCTGAGAACGTGCGATGAGGGTCGGGTATAAATACTCCACAGCCCAAAATACACACGCCTGCTATAATTAGTGAAACACGAAGAGGGTCGCCAATGTAGCACACTGAATATCACCATAACTAACCACCTTATTGTATCTTTTTTTAAAGGACAGGGGTGGGACTGGTTTTATCATTACAGACGAAGCCCTGTGCCAACTGTTGCTGCTTTGTGTCTTATGTGGTCCTTTTATAGCCAGAAACCCATTGTCAAATGACTTGGAAACTACTAGTGTGATCAGACACAACATGAACTTCACCGGAGCACTCAATAAAAACCAATAGACCTAAAATATAATAGTACTGACTAAGGGCTTATTTATCAAGAGTACAATCAAAAGTTGACACCACTCATATGAGAATAAATGAGTTTCAAACCATCCCTTGCTTTCTCAATACCCAAAGCGATATAAGCAGTAATTTCTGTAGCCCGATTGTGGTGGCAGTGCCATTGCCAGGTGTTCGAGTCAAATTCAGTGAATCACTGTGTCGGGTCGGTGAGGGTGGTTGAATGAAATGGGAGCGAGACTGCAGAGTATTCTGTCCGTCCACTGCCAAATCACTCAGCGGTGCTGAAGCAAGCAGGGTCCGGATCAGACATACAATGGCGCGGTCGAGTGAGAGAGGGATTTAAGGCTGCTGTGAAAAGCGCCCCGAGCTAAACAGTACTGCTACGTTTGTGACCCTTCAGTAAAAAGAGATCCCATTCCTTTTCTGATGTGAAGTAAAGAAAACTACAAAGGCCTTGTGAAGTTTTTACATTTCAAAATCAGGACATTGTAATTTCCACCACTTCTATCACAGATCATACGTCTGTCCGTCCACGATACAGACAAGAGCAGTAGTCAAAGATTATATATATATATATATAAAAAGGACACACACACATCCGCAGTGCACCCTCCAAACTTCCCATTTTGGAGGGTGCACTGCGGGTCCTGACAGCCTGCTGCACCAAGCATGGTCTGCTGCATGGTCTGGTTCAATGCGGGAGGGGGGGGAAGAGATCATCCAAAAGAACAGAATGCGGTTCAGCGTTATGGCGCAATACGTAACGGGGGAGATGTCGTCATAGGGGTGTTGTGAAAACAGGTTGCCCAAAATGCTGCAACGAGACCTTCGTGATCTTTGTGCATTTTGACAAAAACCAAATGTTGCGAACGCTGTGCGGCGCGCAGTCACCTGTGAGCGGCGGGCTTACGTAAATGCAATTGGTGCCGATTACAACAGTTTTTTTGTTTTGTTTTTTTAAACCCCCCATCGCTTGTTACGCTGAAATCGAAGCACGCTGCCGGTTACCACCCGCATCTTGATACCCGTCTGGGAAGATTAACGACGCGTGTCGAGCTCACGTTGGCACCGAACGGTCTACTTTTCCAGAGCGCCTCCTTCGCCACCCCGCCCACCTTAGAGTGCTGGACCCGAAGTGCACGATGCAGACCTCGGTCGGGAGCACGGTCTAACCACGAACGCCGGCGAACACCCGTTTAATGGTGGACGTGGCATTAGTACGGCACGCAGCAGGGCCGCCCGTTTGCTCTTGCGGCACGACGCGTAACGTTGCAATGCGCGGCGCCGGTTAAGACGAGTGTTTTCTCTGATAAAATGTCGATAACTTGCATCGTCGCTGTAACAAAAAAAAAGAAGAATAAGAAAAACACGTTGAACAACACCGCGATTAATGGTTAACGGTGGTAAACGGCAGCTGCAAAGTGACGCTAGCCGTCCACCGCATGGTTTCCTACATTAGTCCAATGTTAGCCTGTGAAGACACTGGGAAGCTAGCGTTAGCTCTGGCGGAGTTTTGGGGGTGGGCTGTTATAAAACGGTAGCGGATTTTTGTTTTCATTCTAACGTTGTATCGATTTAGCGAGCTGGCGTTGCCGACTGGCTCTCCCCTGGGAACCGGCGCGGTATTCGCAGTATAGTCAGCGTTACGGTTAGCCAACGTGGCTAACCAGCTAACGTTACTCACCATTGTCCCGTTGACGTTTCAAGCTTCGCGAAGACGACAAAACGACCGGTGTAAGGGAGTTTTTTTTTCTCAACCTTGCTTGGGCGGCAGATACTCTGATAAAGTCCCGAAATTATATCAACGGTTTTTTTTTTGCGATATATGTCTCGGCGAGTCTTTTGAGAATCTGTATCCCTGCGTTTCACCACAGTGGCCCAGAAACCTCAATCCAGCGGTACGGGTGGGCTTTGCCTCTGTTTTCAGCACTGTATCCCTCCGCGTGTTGGTCCTCCTCCCAGAGCAACAAATCCCCAAACACTGAATAATATCAACGTGTTTTCATTTGCGAATAATATTCACTGAGCATTACTGAATGCCCATTTGACATATGACAAATTGTAAAAGGCCAATAAATCATGCTCTATTTAAACAAAGTGCGCAAAGATACAAATCCATCACCGTGCCTCGATGCGATAGTGTCGATTAACAATGTACAATTGTTGCTATTCAGAGCCCTCTTTTTGAAAGTGTTTTTCTCCTTTATGTTTTCCAATTTCAGTTATTTTCAATCCTTACAGTAGTAAAATTCGATGGAACTGTGTCTTTTCACAATCCTCTGAATGGCTGGCTGTCACTGTGTGTATATGAAGTTCAACCCTCAATAAAATGGAGCAGGATCTTTCTTCACATTTATGCATCTCACACCTGTCTCTGGCTCCGATTGTAAAGAACCCGGGTGTGTCCGTTGAATAACCTACTTCAAGATCAGGATTCAATAAACATGTATTGCCATAATATGCCATACATACAAGGAATGTGACCTGGCGGTCGGTGCGTAACAGCAGACATACGACAATGGACGACAAAACAGTGCACGAGGAATAAAATAAAATATAATGCTATGAGTTAGTAGTTTAATGCTACGGGGTAGTTTAAAAATAAAGGAATAAAAGATAAAAAGTTAGAAATATTTAAAAATTTAAAATAAAGTGCACCAGCGAACAGAAATCGACAAGTGAAAGTGACCGGTGGAATGACAGAGTCAGACAGGGGGACCGGGCTCTGTTGGTGCCGACGGGAGGAAACTGTTCGTGTGGTGGGATGGACCTCAGCCTCCTGCCAGATGGAAGGGGCACAAACAGGTTTTGTCCGGGGTGAGAGGGGTCGGACTGGCTCTTCCAAATAACTTCTCCACATCATGTCCATTCCTCACACAGGAGGTGAAGCAGCTTCAGGTTCCTGTAGATATGATGATCATTTATGTTTTTAAAGAAAAATTACAAATGGAAAACTTTTCGACGTGCTCTTGAAGCACTACAACTGCTGAATTCAACCACTATTGCAATAAGACCGAGATCCTTCTTGAGGCCCTGCCGCGTTGGCAAGTGTCAGTCGTGTGTCACATTACTGACAGTCTCTGCATAATCTAGATAAAAATTAGAAGCAAAATATATTTATGCTGCAGATCTTCTGACTGCTTCTTGCAGGAATAAACTTTGAGATCCAAGGTTTATTTCCTTCTTGAAGTTTAATGAACACGACACTACTTTTTATCGAAAAACCTGATCATTTCAACTCAGGATCTTTATACAAAACATATTTGAGTTGATATTCCAAAGCAAAGAGAAAGTTTGATCTAACTTTCCAGTTGCATATACACGCAACATCATTATTAAAGATAGTTCTATTTTTTTGCCAATTCTCTCATAGAGAGGGAGCATGTGGCTATTATTTCATTAAAGAGAACATTTAACTGCAGTGCATTGCTTGCAGGTGTCCACAACATTTCTAGTTATTCCGTAGCAGAATGCCACTGCTCGGGATTAACTGGGAAAATTAAAGTATTTTAAAAGGTCTCTCATTAGTTGGTTTAGTTAGTCCAGTAGTTCCTAAACTTTTTCTGTCCAGGCCCCCTTTGAGGACAAAGGGACACTGTAAGATCCTCCAACCCCCTCCTCCTCTCTCCGAACAAAATAAAAAATAAAATTGGGTCGTTCCTCTGTTGTTTTTGATTAATGGTATTGCATCATAATATAAAAACTTTATAAAATAATGTGGTTTTTATTTCTAAAATAATTACATATACATTAAATATTACATTTCCACTTAATAGTTACAAACACTGGCATTGACAATTTGATCAATGGATTGGAAAAGGCCAAAGCATAATTTGAAGAAGATGTTTTTAATTTAAACAGTTTACTGTTTACTGCACTTCAGTGACTTGTTGAATGCGAAATAACGGCCACTCCAGCAGAGGGAGACATATCTGTGTAATGGCCTAAATTTGTAAATGGTTTGAAACAAATTCAAGAATCTTCACAAATAGCTGACCGTTACTCACTATTACATTACATGACATCTCATTTAGCTCACGCTTTTATCCAAAGCGACTTACAATAAGTGGCACAACATTGCATCAGCACATTGGCACATGCTGAGTAAAAACCAATGGAGGATAAGAAACTATTTTTTGGAGGATATGACCTCACCGGATCACCATAATAAGAATCCGGTGCAGGATTATTTTTGCACTTTCCTTCAGTTTTGGACTTCTGGATGACTCATGCCGGCCACTTGATGATTGAGTCTTGATTTAGTACTTGTGGTTGCAGAGGAGAGCGAGTGGGGGAGTGGATCAGGGCTGGGAACGGTTACCATGTTGATGTGCTATTGGCCTCAGCTGCTTGCAATTGTTTGTCTCCCTGTTTTATAAGCAGTAGTGGCAATCTGCCAAAGAGAGATGACAAGTGAGACGAGGAGTCCCGACATATGGAATTCCGTTTTAATCAAAATTAAATAAATGAATTAATACATAAATACATGAAATATGCATTTGAAATACATCATGAAATAAATGATGCAATAAATACATAAATATTAAATACATTTAATTATTTCATGGTACTTTTATTTCATAATGCCACTTTTCATTTCATGGTACTTTTATTTCATAGTGCCACTTTTCAACAGAGCCGTGTGCAAAAAAAGGGCTGGCTAAGGGACGTGAATGTTGACATAATGAAAGGACATCGGTGGGCTCCGAGGTAGCATGCTAGCATTAGCAGATCAAATCGATCAACATGGGTTTCTCTGCAGATACGATTTTTGACACATATTGAGGGTTTTTGGGAAATACTAGGGCGGATAAGTGCCTGGATATTGGATTTCTCGGGTTGATATACCGGACAACACAAAGTTAGCCAGCTTGTCGCCAGGAATATCCAGAGGCGGGCGTCCAGCACCTGTGCTTGTAGTACCAGCGCTAATGTTGACTTCATCAACTTGGACCTCTTCCACACGCACGCGGTGCTCAATCAGTCTTAAACAATTTAAAACTTTGTCGTTTATGTATACATCTTGAAGAGCACTTATCCGCCCTAGTATTTCCAAAAAACTCTCAATATGTGTCAAAAATCGTATCTGCAGAAAACCCATGTTGATCGATTCGATCTGCTGAGCCCACCGATGTCTTCCATTATGTCAACACTCACGTCCCTTAGCCAGCCTTTTTTTGCACACGGCTCTGTTGTCTGTTCTGAATGTTAGCTGTAGCCACGCCCCTTATTTGCATATAAGAACGTGAAATGTAAAACGGCATTATGAAATAAGTCTCTGGAAATGAAAAACAGCATTATGAAATAAAAGACTCTGGAAATGAAAAGTGGCATTATGAAATAAAAGTACGATGAAATAATTAAATGTATTTAATATTAATGTATTTATTGCCTCATTTATTTCATGATGTATTTCAAATGCATATTTCATGTATTTATGTATTTATTTATTTAATTTTTACTAAAACGGCATTCCATACCGACACAGAGATTCAAACATACTGCTGCCAGAATCACAATAAAGCTTGATTACAAACCAGCCATTTGTGTACAATTTGTTCCTGTAAACCTCCCTCGTAACCACCCACGTTACAGTATTGTTTAAACATACATCGGCCAGCAACCAAATGTGTGATAAATTATTTCCCCAGGATTCACAAAAGTAGCTCAGTCGAATAAACTAATATTCAAAGGCATTTTCTAATAATATTTAGGACAAGGAGTGACAAATCATTCAGTGGCCTAAAATGAAAACTGCTTGTACGTGCTGTCCATGCAGTTTCCTCTTCACAGTAACACAGGTGGCTCAAAGTCAGAAGAGCAGCATTTTAACAGTGTTCTGAGATGCAGCATGTAATGACGGCTACAGCTTTACAATACATCCAAGCCATTGTCCATCTCAACAAATTGAATGCCATTCAAATTTTCCAAGACAACCCTGACTCAATTACTTTAGTGGTCCACTGACCCTCACTGAAAAACCACCAGCAGGTGAAAGTTTGCATTTATCTTGCAAAGTATCTCAACATCTACGTGATGGATTTGCACAAAATCTTTCCTTAAATGCCACAATCCATGAACTTGAAATTCATGGTCATGGATTTCTACATGATGGATTGCCATTAATGATTACATGCCTCATGTTTGTTTAAATTATTTGTAATAAATTGTAGTAACATTCCCTTATTTTCTAGCTGCCCGGTCCGGATGGTCAAACACTTGTTTTTCATAAACCGTAGCTGGACTTTGTGTAAATCAATAGGGTGGCTATAAACTATTTTAAAGGTTATTTTTTTTGGCACTGAAGAGGTAGACAGCAAATGGGGGAAAAGAGAAATGGCCATCGCGATAGTCTTCCGTCATCTGAGCTGGAAATGTACATGCTTGGTCTTGTTTTATTTCGCAGAGTCTGTCATAAGACAAAGCAATACCACCACCAACATGTAATTGCTTTGCAATTTTTTACACATGTTACAGAAGCAAATAACTGATGAAAGGCCGGAGTTCAGTACACAGGAGGTCGGCGGTAAAGAGGTGGCAGGCAGTGTCGTTGTTGGAGGCAGGCAGGCGGGCAGGCGTCAGTACACGGGGGATCTCTAGAATCAACTGGGAACTACGACAATACAACGTTGGTAAGACATTACATGTCATTTAGCGGACGCTTTTATCTAAAGCGACGTACAATAAGTGCATTCAACCATAGGGTACAAACTCAGGAGAACAAGAAAGTGCAATTTCCTCAAATAAGCCAATTTACAATTTGCTATAGATGAGTGACGTTACAAGTACAATTTAAGTGCTACAATTTGTTAGTCTTTAGTCGAGGTAGAGTCTGAAGAGGTGTGTCTTTAGTTTGTGGCGGAAGATGTGAAGGCTCTCTGCGGTCCTGATGTCTTCAGAGA